TTGTACACATGATGATCAAATGTTAATTAAATACAAACTTGGGCCTATATAACTGTACAATGAAGAAAGGTAATGGCTAACTGATATAAAAGTGTGTTTCCACCAACATTGGGCATTTAAAACAAGAAAAATAAAGCAACAAAAGATTTTTATTATTGCCCTGATGTCCATTGCTTTCTTGGCCGATTGTTGTTATCCTGTCATATCTCAGTTAATTGAACTATTTATCAACTGAATAGAGTTTTAAAGATAAGAAAAGGTTATGGCTAACTAAAAAATTCCATAACATCTATATGGAAGAAAAGTATGGAGTATAAGTCTCTCTTTTAGTCTTTGATTCTGCTGTAAACTGAATTTAAGATTATGACAAAACTGTTAAATGACATCCTATCCTAATTGGACACACGAAGACACTTTTTTTTTGGGGGGGGGGAAATCATATCAGCACAAAACACAAAAAAGTTTTTCAATTTTAGAAGTGTTTTCATGGCATGTTCGTCTTAATTGATACAAACAATTGAAACAAATAAACTAAATTGAAAGAGGCGATGGCAATTCAGTATCAAAGTGTGTTTGTCTTGTTTCGTGAATGAGCCATGAGCAAAACTCCGCACTGTCCGGCTATATTTCAGTTAATTACACTATTTATCCACTAAATTAAGAGTTTAGTAGGCAGGAAAAAGATATGTTTATAACATAAACAATGGTTACTTATTTAATAAGTTAACGCTTTCATTATGGCAACGATTTGCAAATACCAATTTCAAAACTTTTAAAGTTGCAAGATGTGTGTAGATCTATGAGAGATGAGAATGATTGTGGCTTACTTAACAGCAATAAAATAAACCATGGTAATTAACTTTTAATTCCTAAACACCTAGAGGTAACAAAAAACAACGTCCAAACAAAAAAACAATTATCACAATGAATGTTAAACGACTGCTCCAATCTAAAGAATGTCCAACAGGCTTATAAGTAAACCAGTTGGACACAAAAGACATAAGTTTCAACTATGTCAACAGGTGTCAAAATAAACTGAAACATTTCACAGTTATGAAAGCAAATTTGCATAACATGTGAGAATGATTATCAGCATTATAGACAAAACTAAACTGGAGATCGTTGACTATCAGGTATGAAAAGAGTATGCTGTTTTAATTGTTATGTTGATGAATAATGTGAGCAACCAGAACATTGAAGCTAGCATATTTTAGTATGATTCCATAGGATCTTGGGGCCAAATATAACTGCAAAATGGAGAAAAGAAATGGCTAACTGCTATAAAAGTGTATTTCTATTGTTCGACCGTTATATGACCATCCTGTATGAAATGTGTATGGTATGTTTTAATTGCTATGTAGATGAGTTATGGGAGCAACCAGAACATTGAAGCTAGCATATTTTAGTATGATTTGTCATAAATGGATGCTATATAGCAGGTTTATTTTAGGTTTTTGACATTGAAAAAAAAAGTCTAGAAGGTGGCAAAATAAATGTTTTATGTGTTTTCAGCTATGAAATGCTTTTTATGATATATACTATCCTCATGTTTATTCAATAGAATCTTGGGGCCAAATATAACCGCAAACGAGAAAGGAAATGGCTAACTGTCATAAAAATGTATTTCTATTGTTCAACCATTACATAACCATCCAGTATGAGATGTGTGTGGTAACCTAGAAGCTACCATTTATTAGCACAAATTATCATAAATAGACACTACAGCAGATTTATTTTAAGTTTGACAATTACCAGTGCTAAACGTTTTTCAGTTATTAAAGTGCACTCTAAAAATGGAGAAAGACGTTTGTTGCCAATCTGGTATGGAAGTGTTTCCATTGTTACACGGAAAAGTTAGTAAGTTGGCCAATCAAAAAAAAAAAAAAAAAAAAAAAAAACTTGCCCAGATGACTTCTATTACTTTGTTTGTTTTAATTGTTGTTATCCATATCTCAGTTAATTGAACTATTTATCCAATGAATTAAGAGTTTAACTGAAAGGAAAAGATTATAAATATAACCTAATCTATGGTACATAGTTATTAATTTTACAAAAACCCCTGGTAACAAAAAAAAACATGTAAAACTCCAATAATAGAGTCTGATCCTTAAAATGGAAGTCAACCAGTAAGAAATAGACATGGGGGCGAATCGCCATGAGGATGAGTTGATTAATAGCAACATAGTAGCATAGCAACTCATCAGCAAGTGGCAAAATAAATGTTTGTGTGTTTTCAGGTATGAAATGTTTTTATATGATGTAGAACATCCCCACAGTAATGGAATGTATATTCAATACAAGGAAATGGCTAAATGACTAAAAGGGTGTTACTATTGTTTGACAATTACATAACCATCCAGTATGAAATGTGTATGGTATGTTTTAATTATGTAGATGAGTTATGGTAACAACCAGAATATAAAAGCTAGCATATTTTAGTATGATTTGTCTTAAAGGAATGCTCTAGCAGATTTATTTTCGGTTTGACGATGAAAAAAAAGCACACCCGTACTAATTGTTTTTCAGTTATGAAAGTACAATCTCAAAATGGAGAAAGGTGTTTGTTGGCTATCTGGCATGAAGGTTTTCCACTCTTACATGGAAAGTTGGTAAAAAAAAAAAAAAATTACTGTTATCTAGATGTCTATTGCTTTGTTGGTTTGATTGTTGTTATCCTGTCATATCTGATTTAATTGAACTATTTATCTAATGAATTAACAGTTTGACAGAGAGGGAAAAGGTTGTAGCTGTAGCCTAAACCATGTTTAGGTACAAAAATCCTTGATATAAAAAAAGAAAGTACAACTGCAATAATCGAGTCTGATCCATAAAACAGAGGTCGACCCAGCAAGAAATAGGCGAGATGTTAATTACCATGAAGATGGGTTGATTTGCAGCAACATAGTAACATAGCAACTAATCAGCAGGTGGTACAATGTTTTATGTGTTTTCAGCTCTGAAATGCTTTTTATTATGTATACTATCCTCATGTCTATGCAATAGAAACTAGGGACCAAATATAACCACAAAATGGAGAAAGGAAATAGCTACCCGGCTAAAAGTTTATTACTATTTTTCGATAATTACATATCCATCCAGTATGAAATGTGTATGGTATGTTTTAATTGTTACGCAGATGAGTTATGGAAGCAACCAGAACTTAGAAGCTAGCATATTTTAGTATGATTTGTCATAAATGGACAGTTTAACAATTTAGTTTAGGTTTTGACAATGAAAAAAAAGCACAAACCAGGGCTAAATGTTTTTTAGTTGTCTCAAAATGAAGAAAGATTTTGACAATTTGGTTTGAGTTAGTCAATAAGAAAAAATTTCTGTTATCCAGATATCTATTGCTTTGTTGGTTTGATTGTTATTATTCTGCCATATCTGATTAATTAACTATTTATCTAATGAATTAACAATTTGACAGGAAGGAAAAGGTTATAGCTATAGCCTAAACCGTGGTTAGGTACAAAAACCCTTCATATAAAAAAAAATGTAAAACTGAAATAATCAAGTCTGATCCATAAAATGGAGTCGATGTAGTAAGACATAGGCATGGGACGTGAAATGCCATGAGGATGAGTTGATTTATAGCAACATAGTAATTTATAGTAACATAGCACAGATCAGCAGATGACAAAATAAACGTTTTATGTGTTTTTAGCTATGAAATGTTTTTATTTGACATTGAACATCCGCATGGTAATGGAATGTGTATTCGATACAAACTTGGGACCAAATAACACCACAGTATGAGATGTGTACGGTATATTTTAATTATGTATATGAGCTATGAGCGACACAGAACCAGAAGTTAGAAGGTAACATATTCTAGTATGATTTGACATAAATGGACACCATAGGGGATTTGGTGTAGGTTTGACAATGGAATAAAAAAGGAGGCAGCAATGCCAAATTTGCAAGGTAATGCTAGTTTTTGGGCCAGTGCTTTCTCCATATTAATTCCTCGTCGGTTTTGAAATAGAATTTTGTAAAAATGACTAGTTCGTCCGTTTATCAGGTACGGCCTATAATCAATAATGTCAACGGCCAAATAATGACCGTCTAGATTGTTATCGGATTTAATTTTGAGAATGGTCGTTTGTTCAATTTCGAAGTTTTTAAGGCGACCTACGACCGCCAGACGGGGGCGAGAACCGGCGGAACTTCGTCGCCGATTGGGTCCCAACTAGGTTATCTATTAAAGCACGGGACTTTAACGGGAAAATCAATAAAGTTCGAGTTTCGAAAAAAAGCCCGGACGGGAAACGCCTCGTGGCCTGTTCGGACCGACTGGAAAAGCGTCGACACGTCGATGGGGGGAAAAACGGGAAAAGCCGGAAATAACCTCAAAACGCTGGCGTTTATACCGTTCAATTTTAACAGGACAGAGGATATAAAAATTATGAAATTTTCTTTTTTGGGGGTTTGAATAATAGAGAATTTATTCCGAGGAGCTTTAATTTTTTTTCAAAATGGATGTCTTGGTGGTTTCTTTGATTTTCAATCTTGTGAAATAGTCCTAATTGTTAGGCTTTTCAAATTCAATTCGGCCGAAAGGGTAGAAACCGAAGCGATAAAAAAAGCTGCTCATCGCTTTTAGGCTTATTACAACATATTTTTAAATTTTATTTTTAGATTTTTTATAGTTAGATTTTACTCCTGTTAAGTGGTAAACCGATATGTTTTTATAGATTATAAGGCTTTAAGATGTGAGTTAAATTAAAAAGAACGAGGTTTTTGAAAAGCGTAAAATATAAGGAAAAAAGGTAGAGACAGGGAAAGGGAGAGGGCGAGGGCTGGAGGTGGGGCGCAAGAACTTAAAAGCATGGAAATGCACGAGCCGAGAATGTGAAAAGGGTTCGAAAAAAGTCATCCCTAGCCCGTCAAAAAGGGTCGAGAATAGGGACTTAATTGGATAAAGTTCATCAGGCTTTAAGGAAAAGGATGAAGACGGGCTTAAAACTATCTCGGCGTTAGAATGAATCCGTACAAACCTATCGTTAAGCTGATCCTCCGTCCCAGGGATGGGATGGACGACGAATTGCAACGAGGACATTTTCGTTGGCGGTGTCGACGACTAAAACACTGCGAGATATCGGGCCGATGCGGGTGACACCATTTTTCGGAAACGGCTCGACGAAAGTTCACTTTTCCTGTTGTCCAGTTGAAAACAATGGCCGACGAAGAACTCGAACGAGAATCGGCCCCGAGTGCTCGAACGAATGAAAGCGAGGAGGATCGACGATCGTCTGTTGGGCCAAGCTCGCCAACCTAACGCGCCACGACTGTTGTCTTCGCCTCCTGGCTCCCTTCTCGACTACCTTTTCCTCACTCTTATTAATTTTTGACCGAACTATTGAAAAATTGAGCCTCGCGAAAAAACAAAAACGAATGAAAGAATTGGAAACAACTGTTAATGTTTTTTCTCCTCCGGGTTTTATGTTTAATACATATGTTCCTTCGGCGTAGAGGTTCCGCGCTCCGAAGTATTCTGGGTGGCGGTGCGTCGCGGAGGGGGCGCGGCTGATATCTGGATAGCGCACTTCGCTCCCGCCTTCTTCAAAACGAATCACGATTCTACGACCGTTCCTATCTGTACAACTGGAATTTCCTTAAATTTTAATTCTAGACGTTTCTTCTGCCGATTTGAAGTTTAAAACAAAAATTTGGAAAAAACACAACAATCACATTCCATTCAAAACATATCGCACTTTACGGGCAGTCAGCTTTTTACTTTTTAATTGCACAAGAGCCACTTTTTTCTCTAACTATACACCGCTATTAATTATCTGTAAAAGTTTCTGATGGCATTTAACTAATAAAATAATTAGTGGAAAGCTCAGAAAGTTGATCAAGTGGGCATTTGCGAGGTGAAAAATATGTTTACAAAATTACAAAAAGGCCCACTTTTCAGAATTGGCAACATAAAAATTAATTTAACAAAATATACTAAATAAAGAAAACAAAATCATGCACATCTGAAAACATCCGACTAAGTTAGAATAAATAGAAAGAATATTTGGAATTATTTTAATTTTAATTTTTCTTACACTTGCTTTTTCCCACATATTTATTGTACCGTTGTATTAAAAATAAACTCTAATCCCCACACATAAATTTATATATTTTGAACTATTTGAAATCATTGAGATCATGACACACAAGTACAAAATACAATTTTCCTAGACAATTTGTTATCTAATTATAATTAATACCAAAAAGAATTACACATTTTCTAATTCCAGAAAAACAAATATGTGTCAATATGAAAGACAGAATAATTTGTTTGAATAAATAAACACCAAAACTATTAATTTTTAGAGTGATTTGGCCATGGTACAATTCCAAGAAAACAAAAGCTAAAAATATTAAATTTTAATCCGACGTTTTACCAACTTAAAATGAAAATTTGGAAAATTGTTTTGATCGATTAGAACATATATTGAATTTTACTGTTGGACTTTTTGCCAATTTGAAGCTTAAAATGAAAAGATGTTAGTATGAGTAACATTTCATTCAAAACATATCCACTTTACAGGCAGTCAGCTTTTTGATATTTTAATAGCACAATAGCCACTTTTTTCTTTAACTATACATTGCTATTAATTATCTGTAAAAGTCTCTGATGATATTTACGTATAATTTAACAAAATATACTAAATAAAGAAAACAAATAAAATCGTGCACACCTGAAAAACATCAGACTAAGTAAGAAAAAATAGAAAGAATTACATATTTTAAAACCTGGTCTTCTTTTTCTTTTCTTTTTTTACACTCCTGCTTTATTTTCCACCATGGAAAATTATAACAAATACAATAATAAATAAAACAACAGTTTAAATCATGAATCATGCTACACACACACACACACAATCTAAATATATTATATTTATGGTTCAGCAAATATCAGAAAATATTGAAGATTGTCTAAGAGACAAATAAACATATTGTTTAGGAGTGCTTGTCCAATTTTTTATATTGCGTGATTAGGTCATGGCACATTAGCCATACAAGAATACAAGTATTAAATATATATTAAATTCTAATTGTAAACTTTTTTGCCAATTTGAAGCTTAAAGCCAAAATTTGGAAAATACACAACAATCACATTCTATTAAAAATACACTGCACTGTATGAGCAGTCAGATGTTTACTTTTTAATTTTAATTCTGCTTACTTTCTCTAGAGACACGTAGACTTTGCTCTGATTTACTTACTATTTTTATTATAATCAAATACCATATTGACATACCTTCTTTACATAGTCGAATCAACTTTTCTGAACTGAGTTACTTGACCATGCATAATAGACTGATTCATATTTCCTGCCATACTATGTATAGTAAAAATACTCCTCTTAGTAGAATTATGTGTTCCATCAGTAACTTTCCTCCTCTTTCTTATTTCAATTATTCTGTTACAGAAAGTAGAGTACATATCTGAAAAAACAGAGTAGATTAGAAGGGAAAGAAAATATTTTATATGATTTCAACTATTTGAAATCATAGTTTGATGAGTTTAGCACATTAGCACTCGAATGATGGTAAAAACGGAATGCATCTGGCAGAACCAAAATGATCAAAAAAGAACCAAGCTTCAGTTTTTATTGTGAAAATGTATTTACACCATAAGCATGTATTCAGTTTGAAAATGGCTGCAGTGATCTTAAGAGGTAATTTATAATTAATTTATTCAATATCTCTTGTCTTTAAACTTAAAAAAAAAATTAAACAGTTGTGCTTTAAGTGGTATTACAAATTATCAATTAAAATATTTTTATTTAGACACAGACAACGGAAGATGGTGAAATGCAGAACAGCATCTGATAGACTAAGCCAGCGAAGATAGACAAATATGGTTGGTAATGAACACATTTCACATTCGTGTCCCTTCACGCAACAGATAAATCTCATAACAGTAATTTATGACAGCAATAAAAGTAATGTTTTTTAAAAATTAAGCATGTAAAAGTATGTATAAATAAATAAATGAACTGAAGAGATTTAGGAAAAATGATTTGTAGAAATTTCCAGCCTTGGAAAATTTTGTATTGCCCTTTTTCCTCAATCAGATTTCAAATTTTCAGCCCTTTTTCTTTAACTTAGATGTGATTAGGGGTAATTTGTGGTTGACAAAAAAAAAGAAAAAAATTAAATAAATAAACCCCATGAAATAGCACATATTTTCAAAATATTATGATCTATGTTTAAATAATTAAAATTAAATTTCTTGAACCATTTTTTACTATAGGTAGTATTAAAAATTATTGAATTATAATATTAACGATTTAGACACCACATTCACACTGAAGATGGAAAAGTTATGTTTCGTGGCTGAACGATTAAGGAAGTGAGAATAGACAGACCAAGGATTGGTAATAACTAAATTTTAGATCAAGCACTCACACAACAGAGAAATCTCAGGGTATATACATTTTCTGTTATTATAATTTCTTATTATTCCATTATAGTTTTATCATTTTCATATTATTTTATTGGTTTGTCAATATATTATTGAATGTTTGCTTTGTTAAGCATAGTTATGGCAGTAATATTTTTTTAATTAAACATGCAAAGGGTTAACTGATGTATGTATATAAATACATAAATGAACTGAAGAGGATTTGCAGAAATTTCCAGTCCTGTAAAAATTTTGTATTTCCACATTTTGTCCATTTCACACAATCGGATTTCAAATTTTCAATCCTTTTTCAGTCATTTAAATATTGTTTGGGTTAATTTATGTATAAAAAAAATAATAAAAAAATAAAAAAGCACATATTTTCAAAATATCATGACTGGTGAATAAACAATTAAAAATTTGATATCTCGAACCATTTTTTACTGTAAGTGGTATTAACAATTATTAAATTAATAATATGCATCTAGAAGACCAACCCAGTGAGAATAGGCAGACTGAAATTATTGGCAACAACCAAATTTCAGTCCTGCACGTAACATAAAAAACTCATGATATGTGCATTTTCAGTTATTATTACTTTATTAATTTACTATTACTGTATTATTTTCTATTACATTTTTATAGATTTAATTTTTAATATTTTTTATTAAACATGCAAAGGGTTAACTGACGTGTATTAATAAATGAACTGAAGAGATTTAGGAGAAACAATTTATATAAATTTCCATCCCTGTAAAATTTGGTATCTCAACTTTTGTCCGTTTTGCTCAATCAGATTTTAAATTTCTAGCCTTTTTTCTTTAATTTAGGCACAGTTAGGGATAGTTAGTGTTTGACAAATTAATAACTGAACCCAGTGAAATAGCACAAATTTTCCAAATATCATGACATACATTAACCAATAACAATTAGATATTGTGAACCATTTTTTACTGTAGGTGGTATTAACAATTATCAAATTATAATATTAATAATTTAGACCCAGTCACACTGAAGATGGCAAAATAATGATTTGTGTCTGAAAGATGAAACAAGTGAGAATAGGCAGACCAAGGATTGGTAATGACCAAATGCCCTCACACAGCAGAAATAGTTGAAAGTTATCTATTTTCAATTATTATTACTTTATTAATTTATAAAATCTATTGTTTTCTATTAAGTTTTTATAGATTCTTTCAGATTGTTTTATTTGTTTCCTTATATATTTTGGTATATTTAATTTTTTAAGCATAGCTATGATAGAAATATTTTTTATTAAACAAGTAAATGGTTAACTACCCATATATAAGTACATAAATAAATGAATTGAAAAAAATTGGGAGAAACAATTTGTCAAAATTTCCAGTTCAGTGAAATTTCGTATATCAGCTTTGTCGTTTTTACCCAATCAGATTTCCAATTTTCAGCTGTTTTGTTAATTTAAGTATTGTTAGGGTTAATTAAATAATAAATTAATTTAATAATTAAATATAAATAAACCATAACAATACTTAAATTAAAGAAAAATGATAATAGCACATATTTTTAAAATATCATGACTGATGATTAAACTTAAAATTTCCAGCATTTTTTCTTTAATTTTGAACATAGACAAAAAAAAAAATAAATAAGATAAAATAAAATAAATAAACCCCATGAAAAACACCTATTTTCAAAATATCATTAAACAAGACAATTAAAAATTAGATATTTTGAAATGTTTTTATTGTGGTGGTATTAACAATTATCAAATTATTAATTTAGGTACAGACACACTGGAGATTGTGAAATGATGATACATCTCTGACCCAGCAAGAAAGGATGAAGATGAAGGTGATTGCTATGACCAAATTTCAGATTCATCAACCATCACACAACAGAAAAATCTTAGATCTATATTTTCTGTTATTATTATTTTATCATGTTCTATTATATTTTTATATATTTTTTCATATTACTTCATTGGTTTATGTATATATTTTTCAATGTTTACTTTTTTAAGCATAGTTACGACAGTAATATGTTGCATTAAACATGTAATGGGTTAGCTGCCAGTATATAAATAACCAAATAAATAAATGAACAGAAGATATTTGGTAGAAACAATTTGTAAGAATTTCCAGTATTTTAAAATTTTGTACATCAGCTTTTGAACTTTTTGCTGATATAGCTTTTTGAATTGGATTTCAAATTTCTAGACTTTTTTCTTTAATTTAGTTACAGTTAGGGTTAGTATGTGGTTGACAAAAAACAAACAAAAAAATAAACCCAGTGAAATAGTATATATTTTCAAAACATCATGACCATATGATTAAACCAATAAAAATTAGAAATCTTGAACTGTTTTTACTGAAGGAACTTCTAACAATTATCAAATTATAATATTAATAATTTACATACAGACGCACAAAAATGGCGGAATGATTGTATATATGGCCCTGAAAGGCCGACCCAGCAAGAATAGGCATATGAAGATGATTGGTAATGACCAAATTTCATATTCATGAAACGCTCACACAGCAGAGAAATCTCAGGAGATGTATATTTTCTATTATTATTAATTAAATATTAATTGATTTATGTTTTAGTGGTCAATTGACCAAATTACTTCTTTCAATTAATTATTCTTTCTACGTAAGGTCTTGGTTGAGATAAAAAATATTAGTTATTATTAATTTCTTATTACTTTTTATAGTTTTATAATTTTAATATTATTTTATTAGTTTGTGTTTATATTATTGTATGCTTGATTTTTAAACATAGTTTAAATGAACTGAAGAGATTTGGGAGAAACAATTTGCAGAAATTTCCAGTCCTGTAAAATTTTGTATTTCCACATTTTGCCCATTTTGCACAATCGAATTTCAAATTTTCAGCCCTTTTTCGTTAATTTAAGCAGTGTTATGGTTAATTTACGGTAGAAGGTTAATTTTTTGAATCTTATATTCAAGAAATATTAATTTTCCCCCATGGACGACGGATTTGAGGAAGAGTGGAAGATCCCCACTAGGAGCACAACGCTCCCACCACCACCTAAGAATGCCACTTGGTTTTAAATTAATCAGTCACTGGTTCGTCTTAAGAGCACGCGGGCTTAGTCATCCTCTTTGAAAATTTCTATAAAAACAATTTTTTAAAAAATTTCCTTCAGTGTTGAAACATTGTGTAAGTGAAAGTGATCAAGATCTCAGGAGAATTTGTTCAAGAAAATAAAATATTACAGATATGGTGAGGACTGACAATTTTTTATTATTATTTTTTTATTATTGCAAAACTAATAGAATATTCAATTATGACCCCTAAACATATAAGAATTATAGAATATATTATGTTATTTTGGTAATTTTTATATTTAGTTTTGCTTTATATCAATCGCATTTATTTTTCACTGTGTTAAAAATTTGCCAAGCATAAAAATTATTTTTAAGTAGCGAATCATTTTTTTTGTGAACAAACTTGTTGATGATGATGATGATCTTAATCTCCGTAGTGAAATTACTCAATAATTTTATGATGTCTCGCCCTTAAAAACGTGTTATTACTCATTGCCAGTTCAGAATTTCAAATACGGCATAAAGATAATTGTGCAATGACAAAGATTAATTGTAATCTTCAAGTCTGCTACTTTAAAGAATTTATTTGCTTTCCCGTAAATTTTAATCGTCCGGTTGTTTTAAATGATGGTTCGTAGGTTCTCGCTGGTTTTTTCGCGATAGTCCGCCCTTGGCATCGTTTGGTTAACTACTTTCTGTTCGTTTTCACGCTCGTTGGTCTGTCGAGAATAAATACCAACGGAAATATAAAACCCAAATTAAAGTACAATGTCAGTTATTTTTATTTCAACATAATTGTAAAAACATTAGCCACAAGAAAAATAGTCTTGTTCAAATTTATATTAAATCCTTTCTGAGTTTATTAAGAAAAAAATATGTCAAAAATATACATTCGCCATGATACTATAACAAAACAACCGACCTGTGACAGGTACGTACTAGATATGATCATGATCATATAAGTGGAGAGAAAGCTCGGATAAACACGAAAGTGGTATTTAAAAAAAATCTACGAGTCAAACGTGCAATTATTGAAATCGCGCCGCAAAACCGCCAGCTCTGGTCCGTATGGTCTCGCTGCGTGGAGGGCAAGTGTTATTGCATGTGTTTTTTTTTTTAAATCCGTGTGTCTGCGGGGTGACGAACGTGAAATTTGGTCGTTACTGATCATTATGAACTGCCTTTCCTCGCTGGGGGGTGGTCTGTCCAAAGCGTTTCGCCATCTTCAGTGCGTCAAAGTCAAATTAAAAGCCTTGTGATTAGGGTTTTTTTTTTTTTTCAAAAGATTTTATTATGCAGGAGTGAAGAGGGTAACATCAATTAATTTCGACTTTTTTTGTCCTGGGAAAGGGCGGTTTAAAATTAAAAAAAGAAAATGTAATTAAAGAAATCTCAATTGAAAAATCTAGAGTAAAATCCTCCAGATATCGTGCTAAAACGCTGAGTCACCACACTGATAACAGCTAGGTTTTCACTCTTTGGCAAAAATGAGGTCCGTGTCGTCTCGCCATTTCCCATATGATTTCTGGTAGTAATACGACAAGATTTTGTATAAACTGGTAAAGCCGTGATCTACCGTCTGCCGCTTTTTTTCTGCCCTTTATTGTCGACATGCGGCCATTTCCTGTCGGAAGTCCCGGTCTTCCTGCCTGCACTAAGCCCCCGGCGGTCGTAGTTTTTCCGCCTTTTTACTATGCTCATACATACTAGAAAAACCTTTTAGCGCTTGGCTCATTACGACAGCTACTGATAAAAGGAATAAATTAAAAAGAAAAAAAAAACGAATTTTGTTATGTCATCTTTGGTGTTAATACAGCTAATTCAAATTTATTTACATAAAAATTATTCGTAATTAATCTATGGCTCTTAATAACCAAGTTGCCATGACATACACGCATTGTTTTTTTTAACTTGTACTTAAATTATCCATTAGTTTAGACTATTGCGCTTGAGTGTCTCAATTACTAGGAAGGCCATTAAACAAATTACTAAGGCGATGTACAATTTTTTTGAACGGTATGCGTGTTTTTATACGATGGTTAATGTTCTTCGCCATAATGATAAAAATTAAGAACATCGTCGGGCGTGAGATTACAAATCATAAAATATATATTTTTATAAAAATTATGGAAGAGCGAAGGAATCAAAAAGAGCAAGACTTCGGTCATTTTTATGCCTTTGTTCAGGTTGCGTACAGGTCATAAAATGTACAAAAAAAAAAAAAAATTAACTATTATATACAATGTACGGGCTACGACGTACGTCATAGAAAAATAAAAATTGCTTTTCTTTGCCCAATTTATCGCGTATTGACTGGATTGAACGAGCCAAAGCCAGTCTAGGCATATCAACAGATGTATTGTGTTATAAAAATAACTTTTTAAATGATGGAAGGAGGTTTGTATTGAGATAATATTGATTTAACCTAAAGAGGTGTTTATTCTGGAATTCTAACATTTTTATTTGAAACAAAATTTTGATTTGGACGATTGATCGTCGGAGGAGATTTGTCATATTTTTTTTCTCCTGGAAGGACAAAAATTGTTCAAGAAGGCCTACTTAAGTCGACAATAAAATATAATCAGCGGTATATCAATCTCAGATATCGGTCGTATCGTTCACAAGTGTTTTTTTTACTTATTGACAAAAGCTTGGGTTTGTACGTCTCGATACTTGGCTGTCAGGCTCGTTAAGCGAAAGAAATTTAAGACCTCGTTTCTGTTTGTGATATGCTTTCAACTTTGTTAAGAGAACGATACATTTTTTTACCAAATAAAATTTTATTGATTTATAACCTTGTGTATCTTTATTTAATTTTAATCATAATATAAAATTTTAATTATTTTTAAACAAGTTGTAACTACATATTTCAAAGACTGATTAAAACATTCTGGCAATATTTTGTCGCTTTCTCAATTTCGCTCTCACTCTCATTCATTCATAACCTTTCCAGTTTCTGTTTGTAGGGTCCTCTGTCCATCGATTTTTCTTCCGTTTACTTCTTTCTCATTCATTCTTCACCTCTTCTCTTTCTTGTCTCTGTTTATAGATCTCTCGTTCTCTTACCCTTTAGCTCTCTCTCTTTTTCTCTTTAACTTCTGTTTTACGTTCCTTTCCTCCCCTCTGCCCTCTACTCCTCACTCGTTCTTGTACTCGCTTTCTCTCTCACTATCACTCTCTCTCTCTCTCTCTCTCTCTCTCTCTCTCTCTCTCTCTCTCTCTCTCTTTCTCTTTCTCTACAATCTTTCTCTTCCTCACCTTCGTACCGTTTTTGCTTTACGTTTCCTTTCCTATCCTCTGCACTCTCTCGCTCTCTTTTTTAACCTTTTTTTACCTTTTAGACTTTCCTCACTTCTGCTCTCTACTCCTCAGTCTTTCTCGTACTCGTTTTCTCTCTCTCTCTCTCTCTCTCTCTCTCTCTCCACTCTTTCTCTTTCTATCCTTCGTATCGTTTTTTGCTTTATGTTTCCTTTCCTACCCTCTACACACACACACACACACACACTCTCTCTCTCTCTCTCTCTCTCTCTCTCTCTCTCTCTCTCTCTCTCTCGCAAATAGATAGGAAGAGAGATAGAGAGAGAGGGTGAGGGAGACAGAGAGGAAGAGAGAGAGAGAGATTGATTGATTGATTGATTAACGATTTATTTATTAAAATACACGCAAAAGTTAGGTCTCTAGGACCTTTTTTACTCTTAACGTGCATTTGTAGACGCAACAGACATAAAATAGAAATAACAAATTATTGTAAAATCAACAATAAAGTAAATGAATAAAGTAAGAGTAAGTTGAACTTATAAGTTATATTTTTATACAGAGCATTATCGTTGAGTAACAAAATTAGATATAGATTTTTCTTGATTCTTACAAACTAGATTAGAATCTTCTAGAATTGGAACAAATTTTACTATTTAAAAATGATATAAAATACTAATAAAATAATTATTAACGTTTTACAAGTTAATGTAAAAGTATACAATAAAAAATATAATAATAAAAGTAATAAATCAAAGTATGTAAGTATATGATGTGATGTTAACTGGGTAACATTATTGTATTTTATTACATATGGTAAATGATGGTCTGTAGTATTATATTCAACATATTTATTTAATAAGCATTCTTTAAGTTTAACTTTGAATGATTTTATGCTTTTTATTTGAAATATATGTTTTGGTATTGAGTTAAAGAATTTTGAAACTTCTATTTTGAATGAATTGCTAAGTGTATTTTTTGTGTGGTTTGGTAGATAAATTAGTAATTAACTGTTTTGGTATTGTTTTGGTTACGGATATTGCGTTGAAATTTAAAATTATGAAACTTGTAGGAGGGGTTTTTAGTTTGTACGATAGTATTTTGTATAAAAAGGTTGCTACGGAATAGATTTGTAAGTCTTTAATTTTTAAAGATATATAATTTTTTTACGAGAGAGAGAGAGAGAGAGAGAGAGAGAGAGAGAGAGAGAGAGAGAGAGAAACAATGAATAGTTTTTAAATAATTGTAAATAAAATAATCTTTTGCAATGAACAAGGTGTTATGAGGTTGAAATCATTCTTTTAATATTCTAGTTTTATATTGATTGTTTGCTATGAATGTTGTGTGTCTAGTCTGTTTTTGTTTTCTTAATTACCAATTTTTTAAAATATGTCAGGTATTATTTTAGTCAAAAGACAGGTTCTTCAATATGCAAAGTTTTGTTTATGATTTTTAAACTATGCTGAGAGAAAGAAAAAACGCCAATGGTTTGTTGAGGAAGAGTGACATTTCTAGCCCAATTTTAAAGCATAGATTAAGATTTTACCGTGAAGTTTTTTCCTCCAAAAAAAGGGCAAATATTTATTTATCTGTTGAGAACTAGGTTAAACAAGTCTATTTCCCGTAGGCCCGCTTCCGTTCGTCACAGGCAGATGGTCCGGTTGCCAGCATGGTTAAGGTGATCAACATCCTATCTATTGTCGCCCTTTCCTGTTTGATTTGAAGGCTCGAATGTCCTTCCGGCAGGAGTTTACCGCTTCAGAAAAAAAAGCCCGTTCGCCTCGGTACACGGCTTTCACCTTGCCCGAGAAGACAGCTCGGATCCAAATCCTCTTCGGCTTTCCAAGTAGGCTGCACGAAGGCCGCCGACCTGACCGGATGACCGGGGCATGGCAATTTCACCAAATGGCAAGATGGGCC